TGTGACCCAGCCTACCACAGCTATCTGTAAACCTGCATGCACAGCCATCATCTCCATCAGCACTTCCAGCTGACTTTCTGCTTTGCCAAGCCCACTGCCAAGCTGTTCTGAAACACATCAGAGAAGTGCCATCTCGGTCTCCAGGATCATTTCTGTGTTTGACAAGCCATAAAGCAAAGCATACTGACCACAGCACGGGTAGGAATCTGACCTAACCTGCTGTAGTGCCAACAGGTTTGGGTAACTGCTTTCATCCATTTTTGGCTCACAAAAGATTGGGAGAAGGTGCAGCCCACAGCTTTCCTTCCTGATCAGTGGAAAAGCCCTATCAGAGACAAAGAACTTCTGCAGTAATCAGGAAGGACGTCTCCTTTGCCGTAGGACCTTGAAGAATTTTGCATTAGGAGGGATCCTAACGATTATTTTCACAAAGGAGGATTGGGAAGAGAGAAGAAAAAGCCTTCCAGCTCAAGCCAGCCCAGCTTCTCTTTTCTTTTGTCTCCTTGCAGTGAAAAAAGAGTCTCATTTTTTCTTTGTATTTTCTTTTTTCTCCTGATCCTTTCCTTGGACATAGAAAAAGAAAGCTGGTGAATGCCCCTTGAATAGTCTTGTCTTCTGTCTTCAGAATAAAGAGAAAATAACCTTTTAAACTGTGATGATGGCCCATGAAACGCAGTTAATTAACCTGCTGTGATGGAGGAAGGCTTGACTGCTGTGGTGTGAACAGCTGAAGGACAGATGAGGAAATAAGGAAAAACACTGGAGTTTGGGGACAAGATGAGAACACAGCTATTTATCTGCTTGATTTCCTTTTTGGAAGACTCATATCATTTATGTTTTGTGTAATACTGTCACACATAGAAAGGAGGCTAGAGAAGTATGTCTGGCTGAGACACAGGCAGCCCTGTTATCTGCTGAGTGCCCTGCCCGCAGCAGCATCTGAAGATGTGCAGGGAAATGGAAGCCCAATGTTCTGTGCATGCCTGTGCTTCTTACACTCTGGCTGTGCAGAGTGAGAGTCTAAATGAATCATTTTTAAGACCAGTCCCATGTGCCCAGGTTGAGGTTTTCTTTAGTTAGTTGAGTGTTCAGTACCCTGGCTGTACTGCGCTGGCTGGTTATTTATCTGCCTCATCTTCTGGCTCCAGGAGACAGTTTCTTTCCCCCATGTCTATGCCAGAAATTCAACACGCATACGACTCCAGTCTGATCATATCATTTTCTCTTGCAGCAGTCCAACATGCTGGGAAAAGGGCCAGGGAGATTTAAAAGGGAAAAACAGAAAACACGACAAATAAAAAGGCCAAAAAAACCCACTTAGTATCTCACGATGCCAAAGTGAGCAGCAGTGCTGCTGGCACAGCTGGCCCACAGTGGATAACAACACACAAGAAGTGATCAGAACCTCGTCAGCCAGCACTTTTCTGCATGTCAGCAGGCAATAGACACTGCCTACAGACTGGTTGGTGGCTTTACTCCTTCACGCTGCTACTTCAGCTACATGAACAGCCCCATCCCTGCTGGTGGCACGTCCCCTGGCAGCCCACAGCCACATAGGCAGCTCTATCCCTGCTGGTGGCACGTCCCCTGGCAGCCCATGCTACTTCCTCTCCCACCTCAGGTTCCAGTCAGTGCTGGAATGTGACATTTCACAGGGCCTGCAGGTTCAAGACTCCTTAATTCTGACACGGTGTTAAGTTTATTACAACCTGGTGAAACGCATCACTACCAAATTCATAGCTCTACTCTCCTCCTTTCCCACATGTTTTCGTGAGGAAAGTGAGAAGCTGGACCTTTCAAACAACACTCTGTTTTTAAAAAGTGTGATGCCGGAGCAATACAATATATGCACAATATGAAAGGATGAAGTTCCAGGATAACTGCTGCCTGTAGCCAGCAGTAACAAATCACAAGACTTTTAAATGAAAGCCCAGTCTATTAAAAGTGCTTCTGTTCCAGGGGGCCAGCAGACCAAGGTAATATCAAAAATGTTGGGCTTACTATTGCAGAGTACTGAGACCTCTTGAAATCCGAGCGTCCCCAGACCCTCTGACTTAGAAGGGAGCTGGAGAACTTTAACCCTTTGTAGAACCTGCTCACAAATTTTCTGTCTTTGATGTGGGACAAGGCAAATATCTAATGGGCTCCAAAAATCACAGGCTGGGAAAAATTCGCCACACCAGGATTTTTATTCCTTAGAATCAAATTGCATGAATAAGTCTGGTTGCAAATGAGTTATTTGAGTTACCAAATGGGGCAGATTTGATCCTCTCAGGATTTCTAGTAGTCTACTGATTATTTTTCAGTTCAGCTGAATAATCACCATCTGCAACAAGAAATAGCAGACAGTATTTCTTCCCCTCTCCCAGTTGGGTGGGGCAATACTTTATCCCTGACATAGGCTCCATTATTTCTTGCCCTTGGGGCTGAAGACTGTAGCCCAGTTTTTCAACTGACTTACAGTAATGTGCCATCTTATCCAATAAGACAACGATGCCATTTTATACTCGTTACAAAAATCGACAAACGTCCCCAGATGTGATGACACCTTTCCACTGATTTCAGCGGCTTTTGGATATGGCCCTCATGATACAGACCACATGGATTATTATTTCTTCACAATACTCAGAACAGCATAGTATGCTTAAAATCTTCTGTTAATGCTTTACTGAGGAAAGAAGCGTAATAAAATATTGAATGCCATATATTAAAGAAAATCTTTGTTTCAGCAGAAACCTGAGGTTTTACACCTAAAACACATATGGATGTTCAGATGTGGAGGCCAGAAGAACTGGCCCTCAGCTGCAGAAATGCAAGACTTTGGCATCAATGAGATGTTCTGACACCCAGATGAAAGGATCTGACTTTTTGTCTTGCAGAAGGGCGGTTGGCTTAGTTCATATACATGAGATAAGCACCCATAAACTCAGTGATCCTGATCAGGGATTCATCTGCTACTCAGAATCATACTACTGCAGTCAACTCCAGTTCTTTGTATTCCTTAACTCCTATTAGAATGTGCTTAATTTATCATGAATTTGGCTATAATTGGAGAAAGTGGACTTTTCAGCATCAGAAGTGAATGTTTCCATTCCACTTTACAGGCTCTTTGCTTAGAAATAGAAGAGTTAAATTGGAAGGGACATACAAAGACTTACTAGTCCACTCGTGTGACCACTTCAGGGATACCCACAAGTTCAAGCCACACCTTCAGCAGCCAGGTCATGTCCAGCTGTTAGAGCAGAGCCCAGGGTGCCAAGCATGCTCTCCACCTACTAGAGCAGTGCTGCTGTTTGCTCTACAGATATCTGTTATTCAAATGCCTCATACTTCACATAGGTCAGGAAGAAAACAGTTTAAAATCTAACCCATACAGATGCAGGCAGGCAGCAAGTGAGCCGACCAGTAGCACATTACCCTTGTCCTGACATCAGTTTGCAGCCAGGTGATGAAAGGCACTTCACCAGCAGGTTTTAGAGCCACCCCTATTAAAGGCTGCTCCTGACCTTAGCTGTCTGAGCTCACTGTTTGCTAAGAATAATTATTTTGGGGTTGTTGTTTTGTGTTTGGTTATTTGTTTCTTTTTCCTAATTAAGTGTACATCAAGCATCCAGCAGGGATGTCAATAACTGAACTTACACAAAGGCTTCAGGTGAAACCATTTGCACACAGCATTAGCAGGAGTGTCGAAGTCCTCAAGACTTGGAGCAGTGCTATCTCTAAAGAGCTCTGCAGTTTGATTTAGAAGGTTTGCTATTGACAAAATGGATTTAAGACTAATAGATTTAATAGGTTCTGACACTTGTTTGTCTTTCAGACTGATCAGAGCCTGCCTGCACGTGGGTCCAGTGACTGCTGGAGAGCAAGAGAGTCCCCAGAGCGACTGAAAGCAGCGGCACCCCTAGCCAGACCAGAACGATGCAGGTGAGGGCAATAGATGGGGCCGTGGGAAGATAAAGGACTAAGCCTAACGAAGGGCCCACCTCCCCAGCTGTCTCACAGAGCACGGGAGACGTTAAAGAGCAGGAGGGGGAGCAAAAGAAGCCCGGCAGCTGGACATCGCTGGAAGGAAGCGGAGAGCACGAAGCAGCGTCGAAAGGGGAACGCGGAGAGGTAACGGCTGTAACTGGCACGGCTGGGAGCACCGCGCTGCGCTGCTGAACAGCGGTGCAACAGCAGCGCGCAGTGACGGGACGGGGAAGGACAGCTGGGGGAGAGTGGAACGGAGCCAAGAGCTTCGCTGCCACTCCGGAGAGAAAGCCGTGGGGATTTCCGAGTGCGAGCTTTGCTCTGCGTGTGCTGCTGTGTCTGCTGAGCTGCAGCGATCAGTGATGCGAGCCAGCGGGACGCAGAGGTGTTGGGAACTGCGCAGGCAATGAATGAGGAAGGGAAGCCTGGTTCCATGAGTTTAGCTACGGATGTTTTCTGCTTAGAGTAAGGGCACGGAGAGGCAGGAGCAGACTTTGGGCCCAGAGTTGCGCAACTCAAAGCCAGCACGTTAGTGGCTGTGCTGAACAGTACAGCTGTGTTAGACACAGAGCTCAGCAAGTCGTCATTTGAAGGACTGAATCTCTCTTCTTAGGAGCATGGCTGTATGCACCATTTATTTTTAATATCAGCTGTAGCATATCACCACACAACAGGCTGCATTTATAACAAACTGGGTGTTATGCTCCCAGCAAGAAGTGTTCCTTGCAGTCCCAGTGCATCTCTGTAGGGTGTCGGGAGGAGTGCAGGGATGAGAACACTGGGTCCCGGGCACTGCCACTCGGTAAATGTTCTCTGATTATTGCTTGTTTCTTTGTTTTTCACGCCACAACACAGCAACCGTGCACACTGAGTTTCAACTCGTGCCGCTAACACAAGTTTGTGCTTTAACTCAAACGTGGTTACCAACAACAGTCCCACAGCCCCACGGAACGGCCGCCAGAGGGACCCCCGCGCCGCCCGGACACGCGTCCCCCGTCTGCCGCCCCAGCTCCCCGTCTCGCAGCGCTCACCGCGGACGCCCGGCGGGCAGACGCACACGTAGCCCTCGGCGCGGTCGTGGCGGAAGGGCGGCGGCAGCTCGGGCTCTTGGCCGTAGCGGGCGGCCCAGGAGCGTTCCAGGCAGCGGCCCGCGGCGCACGGCGCGCTGCTGCACTCACTGATGTCGGTCTCGCAGTGGGAGCCGGTGTAGCCTGCAAAGGCGAGCAGAGAAGGAAAAGAACCACCGGCCCATCCCCCCCATGTCTCTAATCACGTCCCTCAGTGCCACTTCTCGGTTCTTGAACGCCTCCAGGGACAATGACCCCACCACCTCACCAATGCACCACCGCTGTAGGCAGGGAGAGCAGTTCCCCCAGGCTCGCAGTACCCAGCAGGCACTGAGCTCGTGGACCACATATATGGCCATGTGGCTTCATAGGGGGTGTTATAAGAGAACCTGGGGCTTACCTGGCCAGCAGTGACAGGTGACTCCATCAGCACTGTCCTCACATGTGGCGTTGTTGTGGCACGGCTGTGACCAGCACGGGGGTACACGGGTCTCACAGTGCAGGCCCATGAACCCGGTGCCAGTGCAGTTGCAGTTGTATCTGTACACAGGAAGAAGTAGTCATTGCAGGAGCCCAGCCTCAGTTCCCAAATATGCCCAGAGCTCGCGTGCTTTTCTTAGGTTTCAATACAGAATTGTCAATTACTTCTGTAGTTTCAATAGTAACAGTAATGTTAGCTTCTTTTTGATAGCAATGCCATTGCTATGGGTTTAGACCTGAACAACTGGGTAACAGATAACAATTCTAGAAACCGTGCATCTGAAATCATGGGGAATCTTCCTGAGCAACAGGTAAGAGTACACTTCTTTGGTAATTTCTGTGTTTAGTACCTAAATTTCAGACCTGCAGTAAATACATGAAGGGAGCTGCATGCTGGATTTGATGGAATGCCTGGGAACTGCTGGCCCCTGGGTCTGGCAGTCAAGTACAAACTATTCAGTGTCCTGTTTAATTGTAAGCAAGCAAAAATATATGGCAGGGCAGTGTGTTACTTGTGTGTGGATTGTGCTTAAATTTAGAGGTGACGCAGTCCAGGTGGCATTTGGATCTAAGATATAAAATGTAATGATGAGGATGTGAATCAGAAAAATAATTTTCATATTGATACATTTTCAGACTTTAAAAATTGTATGCTGATGCCAATGAGCAAAGGCAAACCAGAGCTTTGGCTGCCTGGGCTGTGCTGAACTTCTGTGCAGGGCTGGTCATGCTGGGTGAAGCAGCTTCCTTGCCCTGAATTCTCTTCATTTACTACACTTTTGTGAATGGGCTGCAGGTAGTTTTGCAGCAGGAGCTGTTACTTAACAGGCATATAGAGCATCAGACAGGTTCCTAATGGAGCCTATTGCTATGGCTACTCTGATCACTTTGCCTCTTCTCCAATGTTTCTGCCTATCTGCTGTTGGCAGATTCCTTTTCGTCCTGGTTTCAGCTGGGAGAGAATGGATTCTTTTCTTCATAGTGCCTGGGACGATGCTGTGCTGTGGCTGTAGGAGAGCAGCGCTGTTGGTAACACACAGATGCCTTAGCTGTTGCTGAGCAGTGCTGCACAGAGCCAAGGGCATTTTAACTTCTTGCCGCCCTGCCAGCGAGGGGAGGTGACAGCGAGCAAAGGGCTGCGCGGTCACCTCCCCTGACCCACCGCACTCCCCCTCCCGCTCTCCGCGCGTCCCCACGCGCACCCCCCGGGCAGGTCGGCGCAGCGCGCTCCGTGCAGGCAGGGGCTGCTGGCGCACTCGTCCACGTCCGTCTGGCAGAGGGCGCCGCGGAAACCGGGCGGGCAGGAGCAGGAGAAGGCGGCCGGCGCGTCGCGGCAGGTGGCGCCGTTCTGGCACGGCAGCGACTGGCACTCGTCCACGTCCAGCTCGCAGTTGGCTCCTGCGGGGAGAGGGCGGGCGCGGGGTTAGCGCGAGGCTCACGTGCTGGTTTGTTGTTTGGGTGTGTGGCTGGTTGGTCATTTCTCCCAAGCAACGGTAGGTTTCAAGTGGAAGTGTCGCAGTGTGCGGCGTTTTGTTCTCGGTTTTTTGGTTTGTTTGTTTGCTTTTTGCAAGGCTTGGGGGAATTCACCAAAACCTGAAATTAGCTTGAAAAGCAAATGGTATCCTGGGCTCCATCAGAAGAGGGATGGATGCGGGGACAGGGAGGTGATTGTCCACCTCTGCTCTTCTCTTGTGAGGCCCCATCTGCAGTACCAGGTCCAGGTCTGGATCCCCGAGTACAAAAAAGACAGGGAGCTGTTGGAGAGGGTCCAGAGGAGGGCCACAAAGATGATCAGGGGACTGGAGCACCTCCCATATGTAGACAGGCTGAGGGAGCTGGGCTTGTTCAGCCTGGAGAAAAGAAGGCTGTGGGGTGACCTCATTGCAGCTTTTTAGTACCTAAAGGGAGCCTACAAACAGGAGGGAAATTAATTCTTTGAAAGGGTAGATAGCAGCAGGACAAAGGGAAATGGTTATAAGTTGAGGAAGGGAAAATTTTAGGCTGGATGTCAGGGGGAAATTCTTTACTATGAGAGTGGTGAGGTGCTGGAACAGGCTGCCCAGAGAGGTTGTGGATGCCCCATTCCTAGAGTTGTTCAAGGCCAGATTGGATGGAGCCCTGGGCAGCCTGGTCTAGTATTAAATGTGGAGGTTGGTGGCCCTGCCTGTGGCAGGGGGGTTGGAGATTCATGTTTCTTGAGGTCCCTTCCAACCCTGGCCATTCCATGATAATTCACAAGAGCAGGCCTTTTAATGTTAGCTCAAACACAGAAACAAGTTAAACAAATTTTTGCTCATTCAAACCGTGCTACAATCATTTTTATGTAACACAAGTGATTAGCAATATCATCAAACCTGCACCAGTAGCTGAACCCGAGATCACTGACTGGTAGCTGTGCTTTGCTGCTTAGTGTGTGTTTGCTCCACATAGTAAAGTGCAAACAGCCCAGCTTTGGGTGCTGGGAAGGCTGCGGTTCTGGAACTGCTCTGCAGAGATAAGCGATGAGACCACAGCAGTGCTAATGGCAGTTCACAGCTCTTGATGACTGTTGGCAGGTTATGTGCCTGCTCCTTTTCCTTATCTCTACTATAGACCAGGACACTAAAAAAAATGGATGATTTATGTCCTACATTTTCCACTTTAGTCATTCCAGCATTCTGTATGTTTATCTACTTATTTCATGCTTTTGGTAATAAGCACTGATTTTTTTTTTTTTTTTTTTAGTAACTTCCACCTGCCAAATCAGGTTGTTTTAGCAGCCATATCAGCCTCAAAATACATTGGCACATCGTAGTGAAGAAGCTGCTTTTAGGCTGACCTCCCAGTCTGTCCTTCAGCAGCCAAAGGAGCAGCGATATTGTGAACAGTTCTCAAGGGCATTTCCTGACTGGGAGGGAATCTTCAGCAGGAGAGAAACTGCAGGGACTTCTGGCCCTTTCTGGGGGCTGAGAACTTCATCCCTCTCTCAGGTGAAGGGCAGGCTTTCAAAAGATGCAATGAACCACCAGGTTGTTTATTGGGATTATCTTAGCAGTTCATTTAAGAGCTCATCTTTAACTCTTTCCTGATGCTGCTTTTCCTGTTCTGTTCTGAAATTACTACATTTAACTAGGAACTTTTTGTTTCTTCTGAAAACAATGATATTGCTGTTATTTAGCATTATTTCTTGATCTCTGGTTTATTTTGTCCCTCTAAATGTAGCATGCTCCTCTAAAGAATAAAAATCCATAGAATGGATAAGTATCTGAAAATATCTTAAAATATCAAAACAAAATGGGAAGGAGTTAGCTTGTAACTATTTTCACTGCATTTAAACTTAATTCTCATCAAAGTACATGCACTTCTTTTCATCTTCCTGGTAGTTACAAAGCAAAAGTACCATGGTTTTACGGAATGTATTCTTAAAACTTCTTGAGGCTGCACATAACGCATGAGATGGGTGATGCTCCCAGTCTGTACCCCCAGCCTGTGCATCAGGGATTTGGCTGCCAGTGGGAGCACCGCAATGATCCTGTGTGGATTTATGGTAATGTGCATCGCATCCAGACGTAGTGAGCGATCCCTCTGCAGTCGTTGCCCTGTGAATCCACTGTAATTGTAAGCAATGTGTTTGCAGAAGTGTGTCTAGTGACCGTAAATCTGCCAGAGCATGTTAACAGCTCACAGCAAGCACTGCGAGCCATGTGACAAAACAAGCCCTGCTCAGCGGAGCCTCGGCCCGGCCAGCTTTCAGACCGTGGCGATTAGCAGGAGAGCTCAACGCTGTTTTGTGCTTCACGTCTTTAATCTATCAGCCCAGCAACCTGCCTTCGGCAATGCTGCCTCAGAAGAAAACTTCCCTCCCTGATGTGCCCAGCCGATGTGATGTGCCGCACGAACGGGGATTCCTTCCCAGCCGCAGCGAGTCTGCTGTCAGGTTTTCTCAGATGTGAGGAAGAGAGATGAAAAGATTGGATCTGCGTTTGCACCTCAGTCTCATGTTTTGTCATGAATATGCTGAGTGCCAAACATCATGTGCCAGAAGGCAGGAAAGGAGGGCAGTGCCGGGCACTCCTTGGCCAGTCCGCGGGTCCAGGAGTAAGGGAGGGGTGGCAGTGCCATGTGTACCTGGCCACACCAGTGCTTGGGATTGGGAAGATGGATATAAGTGATGTTTATAAATTCTGTGGTTTCTTGGGAGACTTCTTTATACTGCTTGCTTTCTAGCTAAGTCCTGCTGTGCTCTTCTTTGATAATAAAAAGTAAATGCAGGTGAAGGCGAAAGGCGTGTGGCCCCTACTTCCAACTCACTGCCTGTGGGCAGGGTTGGACAGAGGAATGTGTGGGCCCTGTGCAGCCCAAATGGGGAATCCAGGCCCTCTCTCCTCCTGCACTGACGTGTAGAGCTCAGGAACCCTGGAAGGGGAGAGCTTCCTAGAATTCCTCTATCTGTATGGAGTGAGGTTGTGTCCCACCACCCAGATGGGGTGTGTTGGATAGCCTTCCTGTTTTTCCTATTCACCAGCAGGCAAAGAGCTTGTACCTTCCCTCCAGCAGAACTCATAGAAGATTTCCCCACTTGGAAGGAAGTGTTTGGTTTTATGGGGTGAGGTGAAGTGATGTTTTGGCACATCGAGGCTGATCACAGGCAGGCACAAGGACGGTAGCAGTGGCACTTTGATTTAGCAAGATTTTTTTGCCACTTAGCAGTATTCCTATGTTTTTTGGCATGGCACTGGTTTGAATAGCAGTGTGATGATCTGTACCAACAACCAGCTTGTGGGATAGATGTTCCATGCTGGTAGCCTGACAACTGGGTGCCTAAAGGCTTTGGGAGTGTTTCTTTTAGTGCCTAAGGCATACAGTGCATCTGTTGTAAATATTTGCATGGTGCGTATTTACTGCTAAGAATACTGAGTGAGAACTAGGATTCATCAGTTAATAATTTCCTTGTATTGTACAGAGTCTGTTTCAGTTGCATCATAGTAAAAGTTATTGTAGTCTGTTGTACCTATCTTGTCTAACCCTGAAGCACATTCCCCATGCAAAAGGGGACTGACTGTCTTTGGCTCAGGCTTGTTTTTGAAGCAGTCAGAGGTCCTGGGTAGTTCGCAGCAAAGCATTTGAGAGGACTGGCTTCCTTCAGCAGAGTGCAGCATGGTAATTAGCATCCCCGGCTGTGGGCAGCCAACAGGCGCCATCGCCCGGCTCTGCTGGGGTGAATTAAAGCAAGTGTAATTAGGCCAATGGAGGGAAAGAGGCATTTGATTAAGGTAGCCAGCAAAACTTCGACGAGGCAATTGGGCTTCATTATTTAACAGCTGCATGACACATGTCTTGTAAATAATTTCACACATGTAGAACATTATCATAGAAACTGCAGATTTCATGCTAAATTTTCCAGTCTTGGGCTCTTGGTGCGTTCTAACCTCTTCCATTTGTGTAAGAATTATGTGTGACATTTCTCAGCTATTTTAGGAAGTGCTGCAGCACAGCAATTGTACATAATACTGGTCGTAGTCCACGAAGCAAGTAGCAACTGCAGCCTGTAACTCAGGCATTTGGTTAACATTACTGCTGTAGAATTTACTGTGCATTCTCTACCTCCATATCAGGAGATATCACCTTTTTAACATCTTAGGGAAATGAGATGAGGCTGGATGACTTCCCGCAGTAATTCATGGTGTCGGGCTGGGATACTAATGGTTGGCAAGATCCCCCGGTGGAGTAAATGAGGGTTTTTATTACCAGTGGGGACACCTCGGGGCTTTCATCCAATAATCCCCCTGGCTTGTGCATTTAGCACAACTCACAGCAAGGTGCAGAAAACAACAAAAAAGAATGCTTCTGATAAATCATTTGGTTAAGTAGCCTTTAAAAGCTGCTGTTTTACTGCTGAAGGAACAGCCAGCCTGCCACTGCTGTATGGAGCAGTGGTGATTCATCTCTGCGCTGCTGAGAGCGACGTCAGAGCCGTGTGTCAGAGCACTGCAGCTCCCTCTCCTTTGTGTTTTAGACATCTTTTCCTTCCTTGGCTCTCTAATCTCCTGACTCTGCTTGTTCTGAGTGCTCTGCACTCGGAGTGACTTTGCTTGTTTTTGGCAAGACCTAACAGCATCCACCTGGAAACCTGCAGAATTTTGTGATGAAAGCAGGGCAACTCCAGCAGGATGGGCTCCCTCCAGCAGTTTATTTTGGTCTAAATCTTCACTTCTCTGTCTGGGCTTTTATTATTTTATTATGTTTTCTCCCTCTGTCTCTAAGGTACAGATTCTGTCTCTCAAGCTGAGTTCTTGGTCTACGAATCCAGGCCTGGGCCTCACTGACAGCACAGGTTAAACAAATACAGTTTCCTGAATACCACAGGAGGTCTGGGCTGAGTCTAATCATTGCAGAGTAGCCATGCTGATTGTTAATAGGCTTCTCCTTCCTCCTGCTTTCCCCTGGTTATGCAGTTTTCCCCTCGCCTGGCCTGGGCTCGGACACCCGCTGGTAGCAGCGGGGTGGCAGGAAGGTAACAAGCTTCCTTCAAACAACATTCACCCTGCTCACGAGGGATGCTAACTGAGGGCCGGCTTCCAACAAGAGCTGCGTCAGAGCTGGAAAGCTGCTTTTTACCTCTGACTTCCCTTCCTGCATGGGGATTTTGGGATGGAGCTGTAAACCGCATCTCTTATTTCTTATTCATTTGAATCACTTGAAGCAAGAGCTGTTCTTTTTCCCTTTCTGTTGCTGTGTGATTCTTTTTTTCTTTGTTTACCTAGTTGGCAATCTATTGCTAAAACACATCCCCTTTTTGCTCTTTAATGATTCAGTGTGCACTCTCTTGCTATCCTATCTGTGAATTCATCTTTGAAATTTGAAGGGAACAGCCCCCTGCAGCGATTCTGTGCTCTGCAGTAGAGGAAGTAGGCAAGAAAAATCACACCTAAATCTTAAAAATGGGACCAGATAAAATGGAAATTTATCCCAAACCTGATCACACCAGGTTTGGGAACCTGATCACACTTTTCCTTCTGTGTAACTTCTGTGATGTTGCAGTTCCATATGAATCCTCTGTTTCTGGTAGGGCAGGGGCGAGAAAGTCAATACAATTAGTCAAGGTTAAGTCTACATGAGGTAAGTGGTGAGTTCAGGATATGTATGACTTATGGACAGGGGGAGGGATGGCTGTTGCAGAAGTGGTGGCACTTCTTTGATTTTCCTGATTCTGTTTGGAAAGCTGAAATTTGGCTGTAAAATATCTATTATTCTCTGTCAGCAGGACATTTTTCTTCTACTCCTCACTTTTTTATCCTTTTCTGATCCTGAAAATCTTTCTTTCTAGACTTTTGTACTGCACTTTCTTTCTTTCTTTCTTTCTTTCTTTCTTTTTTTTCTTCGTAGCATTACTCATAGTTCACATTGATACCAAACCTTCTCACTCAACTGGGAAGGCCACTATATGGCCATATAAAATTTCATCAACTTTGAACTGCTAAAAACCTGAACAATAAGAATTGTGTTTGAGGATAATTGTTTCTTGATTCAAACTGATAAACTTCCTTCTTGACAAATGTCCATTCTTCTAGAATGTCCAGCTGCAATTTTCTATATCACTTGAAGTGGTCAGGAGAGGCACACTATAGAGGAAGGCACACTTTTTTTGAATGCCGGTAACTCACTGCAATATTTCTGCTTTCCTTCTCAGAAAAGAAGCTGAAATGAGTTTTGGAAACTTTTCCTCTGGCAACAAGAAAAGAAATCTATCTGTGGATTCAGCCAGACTAAATCAGAGAAATAATAAAAGGGGAAAATTTGAGTTATAATATGTGACATCAGTAGGACATATAGCTTAGGAAAACTTACCAGAATGAAACCAGAAAGGCATAGCCATTCTGAGAATTGATGTTGAGGGAAAGTGATAGAATAATCTATTTGGCCTTGAGGTTCAGTAAAATAGAAGAGGAAAAAGAGGCCTGTTAGCAAGGGTGGATAAGGGAATCCATTAGAAGAGAAAGAAAGTCTGAATTGGATGTTTTTGAAAGTTGCTGAAAAAGATACCTTTGTTCAGAAAACAGGGGAAAATGAAAGAAGAATGTTTTAAAAGAAAAGGCTCCCACAAAGCAAATGCCTAATTTTAAGAATACTCTTTGTTGTGATTAGCAAATCAACCAAGTCTAATTAAGTCTAATTTTATCACTGTCAAACATAAGTTTTGTCTGTAGATGAAAAAGGATGTATTTTGAGAATGTTTCTGTTAAAACAAAAGTTAACCGAGCCTGTGGCACAGTCTGATGTTTGTTAGAGTGCTCTGTAGCTTGTAGAAGATGTGAAATCTTTTTATGCACTATCACTAGTCAACTATGATAAGGTGTAGCCTGTAAGGTGCAGCTGCTGGTGCTGAGGCTGAAGACCATTTAGTAAGATAGATACGACTAAATGTGTGTGTGTGCATTTGTATAGGAATAGAACTTAGAACATGGAGTATGGTAGTTCTCCATGACACAAATAAAAGGTTGTTTAAAACAGTGCTTACCTGTGTACCCAAGAGGACAGATGCAGTAAAACCTCCCTATAAGGTTGAGACACGTTGCCCCATTCAGGCATGGGTCTGACACGCATTCATTCACCTCCAGGTCGCAGTGCTTGCCTTGATAGCCTGGGACACAGTAGCAGGAGTATTCATCAATCCCATCCCTGCACACCGCTCCGTTGTGGCATGGTTCCGAGCTGCACTCATCAACATCCATTTCACAGCGTGTACCTGTGAATCCTGTGCGACAGAGGCAGGTGGGCCTGGCCAGGCCATCGAGGCACGTGCCTCCGTGTTCACAGGGGTTGGTGTCACACATACTGACAGCTATTTCACAAGTGGTCCCATTGTACCCATCCGGGCACTCGCAAGTGAAATTGAGGTTTCCAGCAGAACTTAAACAGGTAGCGTTTTGAAGACAAGGGTTTGAGGAGCAAGGATCGGAGGTTTTATTGCAGAGTTCCTCCATAGTGTCAAGTGACATGTCCACACAATGGCAGATATCGTCTCTGTGACCAGTGATGCATGTGGAGTTCTTTTGGCAGGAGTTTGGCAGGCACCTGGAATCATTTCTCGTGGAAAGTGACTCTAGGAAGGAAACAAAAAAGGTCCTGAGGACTTCCCCAGCGCTTGGAGTAAACCAGAAAGAACTGCAAGTCTTACCACAAATCTGCATCTTTTTGAGGTGGTCATCAAAGGCAATGCAATTATCCAACTGAGTGGTATGAAGTTTACCAAGACATCCTATGATTATTATTTTTTTTTAACGAAAGTCGTATTACTAAATCATGTGGCTTCAGAAAATCCTTGAAGCTTGGTTTCATAGTTCAAGAATCTATTTTCCACCTGTTTTCCCAGCTATGAAGAACAAGTTGTTTAGAGCACCTCCCTATCTCCCATGTGGACGCTCAGTTTCCTTGCTGCTATGGAGTGATGGGGAAGGATGGATTTGGAAACCTAGTGCTACTGAGAGCTAAACAGAAACAGCAGAGGAGGAAGATGAAAACATGTGGAAGCAAACACCCCTGTGCTCTGAGATGTGATGTGGCAGGGTGTGATGGTGTCTGATGTGAAGTCTGACTCCGAGGAAATGATTCAAGAATGTTTTCTACTGCTTTTGCAGAAGGGGTTGTAAGGGAAATAAATGTTTTGGTGGTTTTGGTAAAGGCTTTTTTAAATAAAGTTGCACAAGGTTAATCAGGAAAGCCTGACGTGTGATGGCTCTGGTTGGCAGAAAAGTCATTTTCATTCTTATGCAATTAAGATCACTTTGGCTGTGACTTGTTCTGACAGACTTTCTTAAAACTTGTATTTTGCATCAGAAAAATGGAAACCAAATGCTGATCACTTTGGATTTACGTTGACTGACACTTGAGATAATTATCAGTCTCTTTATAAACACTGATACATTAATCTAATTACTAGAGGAATTTGTGCCAAGCATTTTACTCTGATTAAATCCTTTTCATGTATCTGAGGCATTTGGCAGTAAAATTCCTTGCAGTAAAGCTTGCCATCTACTGGGGAACCGCCAGTACTGCCAGAAACGTGTCAGTGTTTTCCTTCTTTTAGAAGTACTGGAGTTATTAAATGTAAGAAATGCTGAGAAAGACAAAGTAGGTTTTTTTTTCCTCTTGAATAAGTTTACTTAAGTTAGTGATGCTCTTGATAATATAATCTCAATTTTTCATATACCAATCAATACTTAAAAAGCACGATTTTGCCTGTTTTTTTCCCCAGCTCTTTCCTTAGACATCAGAAACTCATCATTGGTTGGAATCGTAGACTTGTGGAATCCCCGAGGTTGGAAAAGACCTTCAAGATCATCAGGTCCAACATCCACCTACTAAGCCATGTACCTTAGTGCAGCATCTAAATGTTTCTTGAGCACCTCCTGGGGCAGTGACTCCATGATGAAATACGGAATGGTTCGGAATGGTGGAACTGCACAGAAGTGAACATAGTAGGGCAAAATTAAGTTAGTGGGAAAGCTAAAATAAGTAGGGCAGGAGTTGTGAGAAAGCTGGAACTATTTGTCTCCTTACTCTCCTGTCAAGGAAATTAGTGCTCTTCAGTTAAGCAAGTGATATGGAGGAGCCTGATCTCAAATCTTTCCTGAGGATTGGGTGGAGTTTTTCTAGGTTCTGTTTGAATCAGAGCTAGAATCTTCTAGTGTGCTTTTCAAAATATTCTGCTTTCTTAAATTGGTGCAATTTAGAGTAAATCACCAGTTTCCCCCATTCTGTGAATCAGATTAACAATCAGCCATCCAGTCTGCACCAACAAAACCTTGCAAACTGTGTTGGGCTGTTTTTGGCAGAAATGTCTTTCAGCAAAGATCTGTTCTTCCTGCAAGTGACTCTTCCCACAAGTTGGTGAAATATGTTAATCAGCAGTGTCATTTAAAATCAGATTTCAATCACCACCAATCACACTGGTATGAATTTGGGTTCACTTCAGTGCGGTTATGCCTGCACTTTGCTAATCATCACTAATCATCTCATCATGCCTGGGGGCTCCTTGTGATTCACAAGGCTGTTCTTCAAATGTGCCTTTTCTTCCCTGAAGGGAGGACTCTAAGCCGTACAGAGGCTCTCAGCACTAACAGCTTCAGGGCCTTTTTTTGCATACGCTGCAGAGATTTTTCTGAGCTTCTTAACAGAGGCAGTCAATTTTCTAAGGAGGAAAACAAAAATACTATGAGGAGATGCTAACTTCTTGATGTCCAGAGTCATCAACAACAATAGTTTTACTGTGCTTTGGGCTTTGAGGAGGACTGTTTTTTAAAAAGAACTTTTGAATATAACATGAGGGTAGCAAGGGCTCAGATAGCTCAACGTCTGGATGACATGTTTGTATTGTTTTCTTGTTTAAAATTTGTCCTTGAGATTTTAAAACTAATCTGTTGATGAAAGATCTGCAACTTCAGTGTGGTGTTGAAGTAGCTAGCATGTAACTAGAAATATTCAAACGTGTCACACAGCATTGAGTGCTGCATAGAATAGCACTTGGCTCTAGTATAACTCAGCATATCTTTGTTTACATACAATGCACTGTAACATGGAAAATACAGTTCCCAATGGCAATAACTTCCTTGCAAGGATAGTTTCAGAAAATTGTGGATACGCATATATATTAAATCTTGAAGAACTAACGATGAGGTGAATGCATCTGCATAATCTAAGGAGTAAGAGTTTGGGTTCAGATACCTTCATTGTAGACTGAAAAGCAGAGATGCCATTCAAGAATCAGCATTTGGCAAATGTTGAAGAAAAGGACATAAAAACATGCCATTCTGGATTAAGCATTGCTAAGTAAAGGGCTGTCTTAGCCCTCAAAATAGCATTTCCATCAAGATTGTGAGTAGATCTTTTTTTTTTTTTTTCCCCATGCAGTTCTGATTTACAAACTGAAATCTCAAACTTCCAAAACGTTGCGCTGACACTATTTCATCCCTATGCAGCCCATCTCCCAATATGCTTGTCTGCTGTCCTAATTATTGAAAGCAGTGAGCAGCTTTTAGATACCGTGATGCTGATTCTCCTTGTAAATTTCATTGGGGATGGAAATGCCACTCTCTAGGACCTGCCCCGTGCTATCCATGGTTGGAATTATGGCTCCATCTGCTCAGTGAGAAAGTGTACCTTGGGAAAGTAGGAGGGAACCTGTAACAAACAAGCAGGAGCTTGTCACTGTGGTCATAAAGAGTTAATCCTGAATCCCTAACTTCAGCTGTGTGTCCAAAATGTCCTAGCATGTTGTTATAGAAACCGCTTTCAGGCTTTAAATCTTGAATCATAGTTATAGCCATAGTAACCGCCACCGCACACAGGCACAAAAGAAAAAGGGCAGTTAATTGAAATGTTCTATTTTATATTGAAAATATTTCAGGTACATTTGTATCCAAAACCCAAGAAAAGTAAATTAATAACATATCTGAAGGAGAAGTATTCCATATTGTAATGCTATTCAGTCATTATTCTTATGCCTATTTTAAAATGTTGTTTAGGAAGCACTTTAAGATTGAAGCTATTTGTGATTCAAATTACAGTGCATGTTATTACATGAGTGTCTCTGTGCTGATCATTTCTGCAAGCTCATGCTGACTTGTGCTGCTCCCCAGGAACAAAGGATGCTACCATTTGCTGTCATTTTCCCTTGCCATCTTGTTCTCGTTGTGCCAGCCCAGACTTGCTTGTCTGTTTGATGTACGTTCTAGCAGGCTGTACTGCCACAGCAAGGTGTGCTCTCTCAAAGGCACTCGCTTGGCACACTGTCCAGCTAGTGTGAGAGAGGGGTGGCTGCAGCCCGTTAGCTGGCGAGCTCTGTTGTCAGCAACAGGCAAACGAATCATCTCCAAAATGAGGTAAATGCTTTCTTCTCAAAGCCCCCCTTCACTTCTATCCTAAATGATGTTAGCATTGATTAGAAACTGAGTTTATTGCTGCTGTGCAATCTCTGCTGCTGTATACACTGTTGAATATAACATTCCTCTTTCATGGTTTCAAAGTGTGTCTGCAAGTCCTTATCTGCTAAATCTGGAGAAGAGTAAAGATGGGAGTGCAATTCGAGGCTGTGGCCAAGTAATGAAAATCATTTTTAGTTTAATTCATGTAGCAGAATTTATTCTTAACACAATAGCACTGGATTCCTTCTCGCAGGGGCATGGGGATATGTGGGCAGGTGATGAACAACTGCAGTACATAATGGAGGGAATCCAGCAGCCAGCTTCAGATCAGCTTTTCTATTATTTCTTCAGAGGCAAAAAACAGAGATAATCAGGTGTGCTCAAAATCTAAAACAATTTTAACTAGGTGCTAAGGATGCAATCAGTGCCTTTCCTGCCTGCAGTGCTTTTGGATCTTCCATAAAGCTGGGGACATCCTTAGCATATGGCTCAGGATACAAAGCCATATGTTTCCAAACTTGTCTTGTGAACCAGAGAAAAATGAGAGCAATGCTTGTAGTTGGGGAGGTACCACCTGCATTCACAGCTTTCCAAAAAAAAAGAAGGCAAAAGCATACACCTTGGAAGCAAGCATGTAGCAGACTAAGAAGGGAAATGGTGCCTGAACCCAGGGGGGCTGCAGGAATCATGGTCATGTTTCCCTGCAAAACACAGAGTGCAAAATTGACTTCAGGTTCAAATTCTGTCCCTGTGTGTTTGCTTTTGAAAGCCACCAGGAGGCATCTTCTTTACCTTTGATTCTACTATCCACTCCATTGCCTCTTATTATTGTTTTTAAATATGAGAAATGCATACAGCAGTGATTTTGATGCACATTAACACATACAGGTGCTGTGATTTTAAAAAGTGACTGCAAATGTTTGTAACAGTGATGCAGGTATGATTTCTTTTTCCACGTCAAAATTAGATGTGTTTAAAGCCCTTGGTGTTAGAAATGCATCAGAACAATCTGTAACATAGGGCAAGAATTTCTTTTCATGCAAGTAACATTTTCACATTCACTTTGTTAGTCACCAATTCTTAGATTTTCATTTCTTTACATCCTGGTTAAATTTTAGCTTCAAGAAGACATGTATAAGCTCATTGGTCAAACATACAATGGTGATAAATCGCGGGGAAGATGGTGTGGTCAGCTGTGTCACATAGGCATATGCTGACGATTCCCAGTTCAACATGGTCTCCATAAGGACTTGTCTTATAGCAGCTGATAACCAGGAGATGCCATCAAGGCACATTATATCAGACACACCATATCCTCTCTGCACAGCCAAACCTCCAGCAACAAAATGCATATTTAGAAAATGATGTTTTTTAACATGCACTAGAACAGGGGCAAAAACCATGACAAGATGCATAAGGCTTTCATAGATCTGTTCCTTTCTCCAGCTGGCTTACTGTGCTCCGCTTTGAAGTCTGTAAGGAAGCAAATGATTTAAAGTTTGTAAGTGCAAAGCTGCGTAGTGATGTGTGCGGATGCTGGGATCGCCTCCAGTAGGTTCTCAGTAACACAGCTGAGGACTAAACTTTGCTGAAGCCAGCAAAATGCAGCAGAACAGCAAGATCAGCTCCGACTGTGTGTGCTGTCCCTCTGAGCTCCCTGTGTGCACAGTCCTTTTCTCACACAATTTGTTTCATACAATGTAACAGTACTCTTGAATCAAAATCACGATGCTGCTTCTCCAGTCTGGCCAGACTTTAAAAAAACCATCAGCCCTGTGGCAGATTGACATTGTTTTGCTAGATATATAGTGCACTGTGATTTCAATACAGAGCACAGGGAAATAGGTCCTTCTTTTTCAGAGTGGTGAACTTCATGGAGGAGATCATGTTCCTGCCCTCTCTGTTATTTACTGAATAACTCTTTGGCTCAGAAATCAGCTATGATTTCTTCCCTTTGTGAATTCATCACCAACAGGGATTTAGAAACTGTGTGGGGAAAGTGGGAGCTCCTGTACTGCTGACCAGGCTAGAGCCAGATGTGTAAAGGGGGCAACCAGAGGCTCCACCTGCTCTGCTTCTGCAGAGCTCTGGTGCTGAGGGCTGCAAGTGGTGGAGCCAAAGCCACAACACTGAGATTGGTGAAGAACAACAATGGGGCCATCATCTGCACCAGTTGCCCTCACTGACCTCTCACAGGTAAAACTCAGTCACAGACCCAACTGAAAGATGCTATAAGGAGGCTTCCAGTGAGTGAGAATGCTACAGCTTTCACATAGTGATGAAGCTCCACCGTGGGTGCTGCATCATGGTCACTTCTCTTGCCTGCAAGAGCAACAGGCTGCAGACATGCTGTGGCATCCTGAAGGTCTTCTGACTTGTAACAGAGGAAGGATTTGGTTCATGGCTTTATACAAGGAACGAATATTTCAATTCCAAAGTAGGTTCAGAAACAGATCTTAAGAAGGCTGGGAGCTACATGAAATGAAAGTTCAGTTTAGTTTAGCTGTGCAGACTACCATGGTTTCCTCTCTGATTTCAATAACTGTTTGCTGATTAAGGGTAAAACTGTATGTGGACCCCCAGCACACTGTGTAGTCTGCAGGGCTGTTGTTCCAGCTTTCTCTAAACGCTGCCACCCTCTCTTGTTCATACTATGGTTCTAGAGAGTTCTGGCCAGGCTCTTCCTTGAGAGCCAGGTCTTAAGAGGAGCTGATAGCAAGGCAGTGTGAACAAACTACATTAAAAAAATGAATGATATAAATTAAATAAAACTCATATTGTGGTTGAGGAAGAACAGGAACTGCTTTCCTGCAGAGAGATGCATGAGACTTTGGAGGCTGCGAGGAAAATTAGAATTCTTACTAGGCTGAAGTCCCTGGTTTGACATCTACTATCCCATACAGATAAAGAGCTGGCTTTATCACATGGCTATTTGTGCAGCTCATTATTCTTCCTTTCACTTCAGAGCAGAGCATGATGACTGTTCTGTGTCGTAGTGTCCACAGTGAAGTGCACTGAGCTTGTGCCACTGCCAGGCCAGTTGGGGCCTCTGCTCTCATCAGCTCTGGCTTGTTTCTGTGCAGTAGCACTTGCCTGCCTGGCTGAGTCACCTGATGTTATCTCAGAGTTCATGGCTGTGTATGTCACTTCAGATACACTACTGAGAAGACAGTTCTCCTGGCTCGACTCCTACACGATAACAGACAATATAGATACAGATGTTTTCTGCCACTTGTTGCCTGCTGAGCCCCAAGCTTACTTTCCCTGCTGGAAGTCTGACTTCAGGGGCTCAGAGTTTACATGCACAGGAGGAGCGCGAGCCAGAGCAGTAGCAAGGATAGGAATTGAAAATCTTCCCAGCAATTAGGGATGTCTTTCTCTGAAACCTTTGCAAGATGCTGCATTGTAAAGGTAAGGAAAAACAGAAGATTAATCAATGCCAGGGTATGCCCAGGAGCCTTCTGTGGGGAGATCTAAGCAATAAGCCCCTTGTATTGGAGGAATATCACTAAAAGGCAAATTGTTTAAACAAACCTAATGTGGTGTTGTTTTAGAATAAAAGACCTGCCCAGAAAAAAAGAAAAACATGACAAATTTGATGGCAATAATTGTTATTAAATATTTAGTGACTGGATATCTGCCCTCACCGGGAGCATTTTTGGCAGAGAGCTCCATGGCAGGCCTTGCTTTATGATCCCAAAGGGCACCATACAGCATACTGTGCTTAGAGGCTGCAGAACAGATTGGAAAGGAATTCTCAGTACTTGGCACCTGGGAATTCTCAAAAGCCATTTTCTCTTAGGATTCATTTCCTTTGGTCAAAGAGATTATTAATTATGGATAGCCTTGAACAGAAAAAGGCACTGGTACTGAGCTCCTAAAACTGTGTCTCATTTAAAATGAATAAAATATATTAATTAGAGGGTCAACTGTGGTGTCTTTTCAAGACACTTTGATATTGATTGGACCATGGTAGCCTACTGAAACAAATGTCTTTCCATTAGTAATCAAGGGAATTCATAAGCATAACACGATAGGAAGGAAGCACTGAAACGTTTATCCTTCAACTTGCCAGGGCAGCTGGACCATCACCATCCATATAGACTATGGATTGTATAGTTCAAAAGTGGCTGTGTTTGTGTGGAGCTGCCTCCTCTGTGCCATATTTCTTAATTGGATACATGCTTAGTTAAGTCATCTTGTTCACTTACCTAAGTGAATAACTGCATTTCAAGCTGAATTTTATCTCTGGGTAAATGGAAGCATGTTGTTCTTGCTAATAACTATTTAGACTAATTTTGCCTCTGCTCTGTTTTTGTCTGACCTGTGCTTTACTCATTGTGTTTGAACATATGCAAATAGCCACAAAATTGCTGGCAGCTGTGGCAGATGAGCACAAACATGATCATCAGTTTGTAGAGGTGCATGCCTAGTTCACTCTTAGCATGGTTATGACTGTAAGTACATGTGTTGATTTGTTTCTGTCATCTACTATCAACAGAAATTGTATTTGTTGACTGGAAGAGGTTTATTTCTGTAAATTCTGTTGAAAGTACCTCGTATTAGCATTCCCCTTATCCTGCAACATTAAATATTCCTGCTATAGTTTGATGCAGTAGTTGCTGTATTTTCCATGTACAGCAATCATGAATTACATTTGAGAAAAAGAAAGCTTAGTTCCCAAGCAAGGTAGGGCAGGTAGGGCAGGTTCCTGTTGGGGACAGCTGCAGGGCAGTCAGTAGATTACAAATTAGCACCTTCAATCCCTTGCTCCTCCTTGGTTCCTTAGGGAGCTAATGAGGTGGAGGCTGAGCTTTCTTCTGGCTCTGGAGCATAATCCTGTATCAGATCATTTAGGCATCCATCGTCAGGCTAGTCCTGCAGACTGGGAGGCTTTGGTAAAGCACCAATGCTCTAAGAAGTCAGTGCCTAGCTGCCAGTATTGCTGTCCCTGGGGTTGTAGTTCTATTCTTTACACGTGGCTGCTTCTGGTTCACCTGGGCTGACTGGCACAGTGCTTCTTTGGTAAAGGCCTGGGGCTCTGCAGCAAAGGAAATGATGCTTTCCCTCCCTTGTTACCTTAAGGTGGGAATGCAAGATGCAATAAAGGAACAGAACACAGAGAGCTCTGTCTTTCCTTGAGCACAAGGAAGTGTAGTGCATCACCTGCTGACTGATGCAGTCTGCTTCATTGACAAGCTGAGCTCTGCTCTGCTTTGCCTTGGATTTGCTTTCACTACACTTTTCAGGTAAGGTTCAAACTAAATGTGTGCAAGTATAATATCGATTTATCAAGTGATATTTATATTACCTAGGTTTTGTTCTTCTAAGAGTGAAGACTTTGGATTAGTATCAAATTTGCACCTATGCAGAGATTTTTAAAGGGGGGAATAATGTGATTCCTAGTGATCAGAATTCCCATTCCTATCAGTAGTTATTTTGCCAAATGGCTGAAATGCAAAGCTTTATTTAGTAAATACACATGTGGACCTGAGCTCTCAGCACGGAGAGGGCTGTCACTGGAACACCTGAACTTGAGCTGCAGAGTCCATCACAAGTACCTCAAGCATGTCCCTACTACCTCTGAAGCAGTTCACAAATTGCTCTGATGCTCAACTCAGGAGCACTAGTGTTTTGCACGTGCCTGTGGTGGCTGAGCTGTATGTGGTGTTGTTCTGGAGTGAGCTGGCAGAAGTCAGTTAATATTCTCTGTATTTGGAGTTGCTATAGTGACATAACTTTTTTTTTTTTTTTAGGTGTGTAGCTTAAGCATTACCTTCTGTGAGCATTGAGGGCTTTATCTGTGAGTACAAAAGATGCTGATACACTGGGTACTGAGACACTGGAGGGCTTGTTGTATGCCCGCCCTTCAATTTTTTTTTCTCTTTTCTTTGCACGTAGTTTCAGTAAAAGCAGATTGCTTTTCTTCTCCTCTCCTAGATTATTCAGCATGTAACACTTACTGAACCTAACTCCATGCATGTTGTTATCCTGCTACCACAATATTCAGCATTTGTTAGATCAGTGCTAGGTGATGCTTTCTTTCTAGGCTGCTCGTGTAAGTTGTGAAATTAAAATGTGTATTTCTGCTTTATTTGTAGCAGAGGGCTATAATGTTCCAGGCTCTCTTCTTCTGTCGCCTTTCTTTTCTGACTGTCCCAAAAAAAGGCTGCAAATTAGTTTCTGGGGAGATCCTCATGTCAACATCTTGCAGTGCTCAACACACTGTGCTTGCCAGGCAGTGCTACTCAAAAGACCTGAGCACTCAGCACCGAGAGGGCTGTCACTGGAACACATGCACTTCAGCTGCAGAGTCCATCACTCTTTGAGCTGGTTTTTGCCAGCCTTGGCTGAAGTTTTTAGAAAGCAGCTTTTATTAAAACCTACTCAGAATATGAATTTGAAAAAGCAAGGTCTTGTTTTCTCTAGTCTGCTGTCCTTCACAGTTCTTTAACAATCTTCTTAATGCTTCTCTGCTTTGTCTTGGCAGCTGGCTACAGTGATTGAGTTTTTGTAAGTGTCAGAACAATATCAAGACGATGCGAAGACAGTGTCAAGGCAAATATATACAGGTGATGCTTTGAAGGTGGGAAAGCAGTCAGTGCTCCACAGTGAAAATGTTTAGGTGATAAAACCATTCCCACCATGAGCAAAAGCAAGTGGAGCTCTCTAGGTTATTGCACTATGAATGTATCTGGTTGACCACTTGCAGTTAGACTGCAAAAACAGTTTGCAAGGATGCCTTTCCTGCCTAATTCTTATCCCATGTCTTCTAGACCACATCCCAGTTCCTAATACCCTATCAATAGGATGCCATTCTGATATGAGGACGTGCTGCACTGATTTGTAACAAGCATACTTCATCAGAAGCCAGGGAACAGGAATTCCAAAAGATTTTCAGGGTGAGGTGCTATTCACCCTCAGAGCAGTTTCCAAATTAAGCACTGATCTCGCAGTGAGCCTGTGAATTTGCTGTGTGTGTGTGTGTGTGTGTGTGTGTGGCTGTGTGTGTGTGTGTGCATGCTTTGTCTCATTTCTGTTCTGAGGGGACAAAAAGGCCTTTTAGTGATTTCTCAATGTCTTTATAAATCCCACTGAAGGGATTTAAAACATAAAAACAACTCCTAAGTAGCTTCCAGGGAATAATGTACTACAAACCCTTCAAAGTATTTTGGGTGTTGTCTTCAGATATAAGAGTTAGGAGTGAACTATTTGAAGGTGAAAATGCTCGGTACTTCCTAAATAGCACATTCACATACATGTTATTATTTTATTTCAAGAGAAGAGGTTGAATAGTTAGATTTTTTTTACTTGTATCCTATGAAATAACTGAAAATAGTCATGGAAAAACTTTCTGTTTTAATGTCATGCTATTCGTGTATTGTCTATTTGCTATGTGTAACAGCTTTAAATCTGTAAACATCAACCTTGTGTGACTTTATTGAGATGAATTACAAATTTAACTATGGCTGCAAAAGCAACACTCTAAGTAAGCTGTTTACACTGCTTTTAGTCTAACTTACATGCTGCTGAAGGTTGACTTTTCCCCCTTGCCCATGCAAATTTCTTTAACCTGAAAATCATCTGCTATCTTGAATAGAACAACAGCTGGAGAAGAGCTTATCTTGCCTAAGGCTCAGAAGCCTTCTCCTGCCAGTGCTCACACCTCAGCCATCATGAGCCTCTAGAAATTGCTGCACCTAGTTCTCCCAGAGCAAAGACTATAGGATGGCATGTTAGTGACTACAGAGAGTGTGTTGATCCCTATGTAGAAGAAGGCTGAAAGTTATCAAATAAAGTGATGTACAAAGGAAGTCCTTCCAGTTAGCAACTAAAAACCTACTCTAGGTTTGCCTGTATTAAATGTAAGAATGAATAAATAATCATTTTATTTTATATATATATATATATATATATATATATATGCTGTGAATGTCTCAGGCTCCTTACAAATCTGGAAAAGTGTCTTCCTTCCTCTGTATGTATAGGCATACATGTGTATGACATGAAGTGAAAAATGTAAGGTCTGCATTAGTAGAGCCTGGAACAGGGAGACTGTACTCAGCTGTCCCACTGCAGGAGACTTATTTGCCTTGCCTTTCTCTAACTCAGCTTTTCCATCCCTAAAATTGAGATGCTGCCAGTTTAGATGCAATGACGTTCAATCTGCTTATGCTTTGTAAAACACATGAAACTTCTCATGAGGAGAAGGCTGAAGGTGCTTTTTGGGGAAAAAATAAAATTCAGCACATTAGCAAGGAGAGGAAAGGAACCTATTCCTCTGCCCTCACTTGAACACTGAATGTGTTGGCTTTTGGTGTGTTCACAACTTCAATAACTTGAAAGTCAGCGAGAATTTTTTGAGAGAGTCTAAGCTAAAACTCAATGTACAGCTGCAAGAGCTGGGAGAACAAATGAGTTTTACAGGGTGAAATGGCAGTCCAACCTTGAACATGAAAGCAAAGCCCTCGCTATTTGCACAGGAAAACATTAAGATTCCAAGATTTCACTTGAGAAGCAGAACTAATTAGAGAAGATTAACAGAAATGAGGCATGTAATAGCTGGAATAGGGCATGACTGCACTATGAAAGGCTGAATCACTGGACCTCTCATCAAGGTTAAGATCTGAAGAACGCTAGACTTTTTTTAAAGGCAAGTGGCAAGTTTTGCAGATGTTCCTGGGGCAGCTGAACAGTCATTGCTCTGTTCTGCGCTTTCCCTGTCTCAACTCTTCCAGCCTTGATGTCAGGGTATGTTTCTGACTGTGGGGATTTTTTCAGGCGTACATTTGTATTCCTGTTGCTCTCCAAGTCTGTATTAGATCAGTAACACAGCAGAGATCTGGGATGTTTATATGAAGCTAGTAACTGATTTTTCTTGCATTTTTTTAAAAGTTGGGATCTGAAATATACTCTGAAGTCTTCTTTTCCCCTCTTACTTTCCATCTCTCAATCTTTCGGTCACTAACTCGTTTCCTACAAGCTCTAATAATCTCTTAATTACTGAATGGTAATTGTCATTCCAGAATTGGTTGGACACATTTTCTGATGTAGTCCCGTAAATGACTGCCACACAAGCACTGTAGTAACAGGTTCAGACAAACTGAGAACATTTTGCAGAACAGAATCATGGAACAGATGAGATTGGAGGGGACTTCTGGAGGTCATCTGGTTCAACCTACTTCCTCAAGAAGTATCAACTAGAGCAGAAAGCTCAGTGTGCACTTTCCGTAATGATTTCTTTAAAAATCCCTTATTTTTCAGAAGCCAGACTTACTGTAAGCATGCGTAACCTCATGCCTGTGGTTAATGGAAGTGCTGGTGCTCGTGAGTGATTGCAGAAAAGATGCAGTCATCCATGAGGAACCAGCATTCCTTAGCCTGATTCAGAGATGCAGTATAAAAGATGTGCAGTGCTAGAAGAAGACAGGAGAATCTGTCACTCAGTTGCCTGGATGTTTGTAGTTAATAAAAGTAGGGAAAGAGTTCTTCTGCCTGTAATAAAGATGACACCACAAGTCTCAATGAGGCATAATTAAATAGCATTGGCAAGTTATCCTGTGGGTTTCCGCTAGAACAGCATGTTTCTATACAAACCCAAAGAAGAAATGATGCAGCTCAGGATGCAAGCATGTTTCCAACTGGTTGCTGTGCATGTTATACAGAAATCCCTGTGAATTGCAATAACAGTGTCCTCTTGATTTTAGTAGCAGTGATGTTTTTTCCCTCAAAGTTAGATTTAAGAGCTGAAATATAATGAACAAAGCCAGTCATTGTCACAAGCCAGTTAAGCCTTAGTGAAGATTAAATAATGTGGTGCTGTTTATGATCTCAGGTATCTCAAAGAACATCATTCTCAGTCAGCTTGAAATGAAACCATTCTTGACAGCAGCCACAAATCCCTGGTGCTGTAAGGCAGAGCCATGCTGGACCTACTGGACAGCACAGCAGCATCTACATAGCAGCCAGAAGGCTTTTAAAGTTAAGCTAGAATAATTAGAACTGTAATCAGCTCTGTTGGATGCTATACGTGGAATATGAGAAGTACTGAAAACATAGGCACCTCTTACTGGAGTAAGATGACTGGGAGGCGGGGATGAAGGTTGGGAATACAGCAGGTCCACTGTCACCTATTTTCACAGGTCACTGGGCAGCAAGAATGCTTGCAGAACAGAAAGTGCCCATGTGGATGTCATCAGTTTTGCCAGACAAAGTGGAATATCTGAAGGATCTTATATGGCTGGGAGACTGTAATGATTCACTTGGTCTAATTCTGCTACATGCGTAGAGTTACAACCTCTTCCTTCTTTCCGCTGCTTGTTGGATCACTAGGTCAGTCTGAGGAAAAGACTTCTATCCAGATTCCTAAAAAGTGTTTAGAGCCAATCCTTTCTTATGTTTAATCCTATTCAAGACTTCCCCCTAAACACATCTGTTTCTTCACTATCACGGACAAAGGCAGAAGGTCTGGGATGTCTACTTTTTCTTAGGGAAATTCAGTGTTCTTTGGAATCAGCCAATTGAATACAGAAATAGCAATTTATTTTGGGCATCTTACTCTTCTTGCACTTGTCCACGTGCTCCAGAATGCGTAGATGTTAGACTAAATTGAATCAGACATTTAAGACATACTTAAGAGAGAACAGTACAGATAGTTCTTGTTACATCAAGCAGAGGGCGTTTTTACACAGACTGAGGCATGCAAAATGTTCAGTACCATTAGTAGTGAATGAAGAAATACCAATGTCAGCAGTGTTTAATGTGAGAGAAGGGATGTGTTCAGATGGAAAGTCTGAAATGGTGTTCCTTGCAAAATGTGGGCCAGGTATTTTCTTTTTGCAGTTGCATTGTAGAGGCACCTATTTTCTTTCTGCTCTCATGAGATACGCTGTTCCAAATAACTACACAGGTAGTGAGCAAAGAGTTTAGGGATTATTGTTCCCACCAACACATTTCTTATATTTTTCCAATATTTTAGGATAGAAACAACATGGAGCTTTAATTTCAACTTCATTTTAATTACTGTTTTGTAGGGACAGAGCCTACAGGAGCCACACGCATCTTCCCACTCAATATCTCTGATGTAATCTCAGATACATTAATGTCATTCTCTGGTTTGGTGCATCCTTTCTCTGCACCACAGCTACCCAAGGAAGGCAAGGGGCTGCTGAAGAAGAACAGCTACAGTTTGCACTGCTGTACATTATATCAGATGTCTCCAGTGTTTTTGCCCTTCTTGCAATTACAGGAGTCAGCTGACTCTAAAGGGAACTGTGAGCCCCATGGCCTATAGACTTGTCCATTGCAATCTAATTGCATCTCATGTGTCCCATATTCAACATTACCAGAATTATGAATGTAATCCTCAGCTCTGCTATACTTCTTTATCCCATCAAGAGAATTACATGCATAGTTCTGCAGACTTGTTGCTGATAACAGACCCTGCTCTCTTTTTTCTGCAGTGTGGGCACTTGACTATGTTCAGTTCAGGTTCATGTATGGCCAGCCATAGCAAGAGCACTGCTACAACTGTCCCTACAAATTGTAACAAAGCTTAGCAAAATACATTTCA